AGCCAACGGGGCTTGAGACCCTGCTGCAGATACCAGGACAGGCCACTCTTTGCATCTGAACTTGCTGGCATCCTTTGCTGTCTTGTACATTCAGCATTTCAACACAGCCGTGAGATCAAAATGTTGCCTGTCAAAATGCTGCTTATTAGGGCAGACAGTATTTCTGGTAAAATACCGTGTCATGGAAGTCAATGATGGATCAAAAAATGATCAAAAATGGACCTGGAGGGCCAGATCCTTGCAGCTATAAATTGCCTTTCCTTTGTGAGGACTTGGTGCAGCAAAGCGCTGGAATATGCAAAGGTTTCTCCAGAGCTGGGCTCTCTACTTATTAGTTGCACATTGATTTCAGGTTTCGAGGAGTGCACCACGCATTCGTGAAGATCCTCTCCGAAGGAGGAATTCGGGGGCTTTGGGCTGGATGGGTGCCAAATGTCCAGAGAGCTGCCCTGGTGAACATGGGAGGTAAATTTCATAACTTGGTCTGCAGCACTTAGGGCCACCTCTGAGCTTTAGAAAGGAGAGGTCAGCTACTCCCCTGGTCTTCATCTCTTGGTTATCTACACTGGGGACCAGTTTGAAGCACACCACAGGTGACATCTGTCTTCAGCGTCTAGTTCCTGTGGAAATCAAGTTGCTTAAAAATAATAGTTTGCATCTGAACCTGAGGGTTGGTGAGCTGGGAGCTGAGAGGGTCCCATGGCTGGCAAAGCAGGGACCTCACCAGCCACGACCCAGCTCCCTAGCGCCCAAGCCAGGTGAGCAGGGCAGAGCCAGCGAAGGCAGCCAGGTGCCACTGAGATCCAGATCCTCACGAGGCGTGTGGTGATGAGCCAGGGCTGAGGCCAAGCCAGGAAACTGAACCAGCATCAGGTCTGGTGAGCATCACCAGGGTCAGACACAGCTCAGGGATCACCAGCAGGTCTGTGGTGGTACAAAAAGTTCACAGCTGAGCTAGGGAGACGGTCCATGGGTCGGTGTCAAGATCAACAAGGTCCACAGCCCAGGCATGGTGTGATGGAGCTGCAGACAGGCACACCTACAGGGTGGTTCAGGCAGGGACAGAGGGTGATAAGGTGAAGTGGCTGCTGAGTGCCCGGCTCATCCAGGAAGGCTCATCACTCCTTTCCACATGTAGACGGAGACTTCCTGTGTCATTCCAAAACTGCTGTGTTGGACAGTCTTGGCTTTCCTTCCTAAGGTTCTCTTTATAAAGTAAGAAGGGAGATGTCTTTGGGACCAAAAGAGACTACCTGTGGATGCCCACCATAAACATTTGCTCTGTGCTTGGTGGCACTTTTACAGCATGGCCTCGGCAGTTTTTTCATTTTGCATGCTTAAATCGCCTTGGCATGACAGCTACTAATTTCTGTGTCATTCAGCACAGGCATATGTTAGCAGTATGACCAAAAAATATCTTTGAAGACAGAAAAACAGGTGGTGTGAGCTTACACTTTGCTAAGCAGCAGTAAAAGAATCACTGGATAGATAATGTCGGCAGGAGGAACCATTATATTTACTACTACCTCTGACTATTATTACTATTACTATAGTAATATATTGCTATTAACTGAGGTATGTCTCTCCATACACAACATCTAGTCTCAGCATGTGAATTTAAACAAGCAAACGCTTTTACAAGTGGGAAATTATTACCTCCACTGGGTCTCTCTGGGCTAGTGCTGGGAGGGTCACCCTAGTTAGCAGGCCAGGCTCTTAAGTTTTAAGGTGAGTGCATTGGAACTGTAACCCAGATCTGCTGTTAACTCTCAGATCACCATCTTTCATACAGACACCCAGATGCCATAACTCAGGTCTGCTTTCAGAACATGGTATAGCTTCCATGTCATCATCTATTTCTTTTTTGTCTGAAGTCCCAAACTTTTTTTTTACAACACTTGCACAGAGGTGGGAGAGGTAGAACTGTCTTTATTGTGACATTTCTGGGTTTCATTAGTGAGTTATTTAGCAGAATTTTCCATTTGGGATCTATTTTATCATTTGCAGGGTAAATCAGAGAAGACAGTAGTAGAAGGGAGCATGCACCCAGGTGTCTAACGACAGGCCACAGGTGCCCCAGCTGTCATCTGAATCTGGGAGCAGAGGGCGAGCTGTGCCTGTGCGAGGGGCTGCACTGGAAATTTAGGTCTAGCCAAGCCTCCACCCAACATCAATAATGAACCATTTACTTCTTAAAATGCTGTTTTTCTCATTTTCCTCCTTATAGATCTGACCGCTTACGACTCGGTGAAGCACTTTTTGCTTCTGAACACGCCGCTTGTTGACAATAGTGTGACCCACAGCGTTGCCAGGTGCTGTATTCCCCGATTATCCCTTTTGTCCTATGGAGCATTTCCAGTCTCGCTGTCTTGATCTGCCTCTCTGTGCTGGGAGAAGCCCCTATCCTTTTGATGTGATGCTGATGATAAAATGCACAGTAAAAAATACTTTTTTTTTTTTTTGTACACAAACCAAAGGATGAAACCTTTGCTACAAAACTGCCCTCAGTAGAGCTGCCTTCCTGATGCTTTTAAACACATCTGTGAGAGCACAGGAATTTTCACTCTTCTAGAATGACTATTATTTTATCTAACCTAGTTTTCATTTTAGCACACCGTAAGAATGAACAATCTAAACTCTGCAGAACGACCTCTTTTAATGAACTTAGGAAGAAAAATGCTGTATATAAACAATATCACAAATTGCCTATTTTAGGTCCTTAATCCCTCACAACTGCATACAGAGGTGAGGGAAGCTGGTGCTGGGAGAATATGTGAGCAAGAGCAATACTAGCAAGCCTCCTCCCAAATCCAGCCTGTGTTAAGTTCCAAATCCAGTTTTTATGTTAAATTATGCAGTATTACTCATGATTTTTCGGTAACTGTTCTAATATATTATTAGAACTGGAATCGTGGTGCTTAAATTGTCATGATAAATCTTAGTTTCTTCCCTATCTGTTGCTGTTGGCAGTTGCTGTTCTGGCTTGGTGGCTGCTGTTCTGGGAACTCCTGCTGACGTGGTCAAAACCCGGATAATGAACCAGCCGAGAGATAAGCAAGGAAGGTGCAGAAACTTCAGAGACTGACTTCTCAGTAGAAAGTTGCAACCCTGAGTCTCACTGATTTCATTTGGAGTGAAGTGCTAAGTCTCTAACTTGCTCTTCATCTTTCTGGCGATCATTTTATGAAGTTTTGCATGTCCAGGGGGGTTTGTTGTGATGGCCACCTAAGCATAACCAGTCCCTTAGTGCTTTTCAGTTCCTATGAGACTCCAGTGAGCTTATGAAAGAGCTCTTGCTTGTACAAATTTATCTGATACAGATCATTTTTCAGAGGAGGTGGATTATTTTTAACGTTGCATATTCGTGTTTCTAACAGTATTTGTTCTCCTTCCACATTGCCAGAGGTCTGCTCTACAAGTCTTCCATGGACTGCTTGAATCAAACTGTCCAGGGTGAAGGGTTTTTGTCTCTCTACAAAGGCTTTATACCAACCTGGATGCGAATGGTAAGTGCCTTTTAACTCCCTCTGCAAGACAGTTCAACGACATGGCATTAAAATGTAAGAAGTTCTATCCGTGTCAACACTTTTCCAAAACTGTTTGAGTCTCGTTATTAACTTCATGGTAAAAGCAGTTCCGCTCAGTTGCTCAGTCCCCATATCCTCAAGCCAGAGGACATTCAGTGTTGATGGGGTTGTTAAGAGTTTACTGCTAAGCTAAAAATTTCCATGGAGCATATGCCACCTTAGATTTCTCAAAGGCTTCTAATTTCGGGAATGTTTAGCAGGTGTTTTAGAGGAGCAGGAAAAAGGTGTTTCCTAGGCACAAGGCAGCCTTTTGCCAAGAACCAATCTACTGCCAAAAAAAAAAAATGTTAAAGAATTCAACTGAATGCCCGCAGGGTGTAAATTTTATGCAAGGAGAAGCATGTAATTTCCTGATAAAGGTTTTAGAACAAATAAGCTTTTTTTTTGTTTTGTTTATAAAGCATTCATCTTGAAGTAGCCCCCAAGTATGACACATTTCAGGGCAAACATTTATTGAGTTGGCAAGCTGGAAAAAAAAATTAGGTGTTTTGTGAAGGACTGAGTATCCCTAACCAGATGCAAAACTACGGTATTTCTATGGAAGACAAAATATGAGATTGATCTTAAGAACATGATTTTTAAGCTGAGACAGTTTAATAGATTCATTTACCGTGTCACTTCGGTTTTAAGCCTTTAACTTCAGTGTTTGCTTTCACAGGCTCCTTGGTCTCTGGTATTCTGGCTTACGTACGAACAAATCAGAAGGATCTGTGGAGTTAGTTCTTTTTAAAATCAGGAAAGCGCTTCAATGCTCACAAAACAAAGAAGAATCAGAGAGCTGAATTCTCATTTCACAAGGCATCCCGATGCCACAGGGAAATAATTCATATAGGGTATTAGTAGTAGGATGTCATGTATAGGTTGCTGTCCCAAATCCAGTCATTACTGGTTAGGAGGAGCCACGACTTAAGGATGCTTGTCATGTTTCTATATGAATCTTAGGTTATTCACAGGATAAATTTGTCACAATAATACTTCAACTGACAGCCAGTATCAGCTTTCTAAAACAGAAAACAGAGGTTAAAAAAAAATAGATCTACCAAGCAAGTAAAACATATTACTGTTTGCTTGTCTGATAGCAGAGATGGTTCCCATTGTTAAGGACAAGAGGAGGTTGGACAGTGCAGCACTGAACATCATCTGAGCGGTTGCGCTGGGTTCACCTGGGATAGGGTGAATTTTCACAAGAAGCTGGGACAGCTGACCTGAATTAGCCCAGGGGATATTCGATACCATGTGAGGTCACGCTCAGTATATAACCGGGAGATCATGCTTGGGGAAGGGCCTGAGCGTTGGGTTCTGGGTGGTGAGCAATTGCATTGTGCATGACTATATTCTTTTATCAGTATTATTGTTATTATTGTTTCTTCTCTCCTTGTGTTGTCCTATTAAACTGTCCTTATTGCAGCCCACAAGGTTTTACCTTTTACTTCCAATACTCCCCACCATCCCACCGGTGGTGGAGGAGTGAGCGAGTGGTGGTGCTTTTTTGCCAACTGGGCTTAAACACCAACAACATTCTAAAAAAGTATTTGCATAAAGAACTACCTCTCATTAGTATGATGCCTCAGCAAACCACGTAGTGCTAGGAACTGAAAAAGATGTGAGCGAGCGGTGGTGCTTCTTTGCCAACTGGGCTTAAACGCCAACAACATTCTAAAAAAGTATTTGGGAATGTTTGGTTTTACATTCACACATGCATAAAGAACTACCTCTCATTAGTATGATGCCTCAGCAAACCACGTAGTGCTAGGAACTGAAAAAGATTAATGCAGTTTACCTGATTTCAAATTTGCTTTGCACAAAAGGTGGAAGTGCTTGTGTTCCTCTTACTCCCCAGAGACTGCCTGACCTCTTCACTCAACCATCTGAGTAACATCCACGAGTGAAATGCAATCCTCTACCCAGGAAATCAAAAGCCCAGTTTGCTCTGCCCCTCTTGAAGAACTTATAATACAGGTGATGTCCACATGGCTGAGTTGAATAACTTGTTGTGTGAGAGTCTCAGTGCTGACGTGGCAGACTGGGTCATTAAGGTGCCGCTTTTCCATGGAAATATGGACTCTGCCCATTTTAAAATCTAGGTGGAAATAGAATGTTCTCTTCAAACCCACAGATGTGTGAATATGAGTGATTATTTTTTTATTTTAAACATAAAGCTTTCCAGATTTCTTAGGAAAAGGGCCTGCTGCTGTTTGTCGCAGGCTTGTATTTGGCAATCAGGAGGCAAAAATACAGTATAAAAGCAATCATAATGCAGACAGAACAAAGCTGGCTTTGTTTTAGCAATTTCTAGTAATTAAATGACTGTGCAAGACTTACTTCTCATGATGCCTTGAACAAAGACATGAGGTGAAAAACTCCCCTCTGAAGTGTTTGATTTTTGCGTGCTTGAGCCCTGAACAAACGCTCTGTAGTGCAAAATGAAAATCTTCAAAACTTCCTATGATGAGAAAACCTTGAGTTTTGTTGTTAGTAGGAACAAATAGATAAGAAACCTTAGGCCTTGTTGAGCTTTGCGATTAAAATTTGCCAGGACCAGTTTGGGACCAGATAATGGAGAAGAGGAACTGAGCCATCGACGATGACCCACAATGCACATGTCTCAAGGGAGAGTTCAACTAGAAGACACCAAGAAAATGACAGCCAGAGGATCTCGAGGACCACCAGAGGACCCCAAAAGACTACCGACCCATTTAATAGCGCATGTCCAAAAGGCTGGACACTATGCAAATAATATCTAGGAAAGAATATAAATATGTATGACAATTCCAAGAACTATAATTAATATGTACGTATTAGAACAGTATAAGCTTTGCTTACTATAGATTATGGTATGTGTGCTAGGAGGGTGCATCCAGCCCTGCAATAAAGAATGTCTGCTTGCTAAAATTCCAAAACTGAGTCTTAGAGAGTTGATGTTTTCAGTATCATTCTGGGTAAATAGTCGGGATTTCTTCTAGACTAGTCTTTGCAACAAGTGTCTTCAATGTGCCAATTTCTGATTAAATACAGTTTGGGTATCTTCTTGACTTGCACTTGTGCTTTTTGATTATATTGTAGATCTGTTGTGACTGCATGTATTTGGGTGGCCGATTCCAGCCTGGACAAAATTCATCTCACCATTTTTAAGGGGTCAGAATTTTTTGTTCATGAAGTACTGTTATCTTTCCAGTTGTCAGACCAAGTTGAGTTCTTTCCTCCTTGCACATCACCACCAGCGATTATACACTCAAACCTGCTTCTTCAGCTACACCCTGAGTGGTCCTGCCTGCTGTCCTCTTACTCAGGTACCCTCACGATGGATATGCAGAAGCACCTGATCTACTGAGTTAAAACCCCACAATTTTAAAAGTCTTTTAGTGTAAAACGTTTTAACTCTTAATAAAGCTCTCTCTTTTTTTGAGTGTTAAGAGGTACTGGTTTTTTTAGCTTAAATAAGTTTTATACAGAATTAATCACTCAAAGCTATAATGGTGTGTGATATAGCATGCTGTTTGCTTAGCTTTGGTTGCTTAGCGTGAGTCGCTGAGGCCTCAGGTCACAAGCGGTGACCTTATACTGAACCTGTACTTGGTTACATCAAAGGAGGCCCTGTGAAAAATAAGGCAGTTGCATTCATAGAATCAGAATTGTCAGGGATGGAA